GGCAGCATCCAACCCAAGCTCTGTAACTGTACATGCAGAGCCCTTCTGCACTGGCCACGTAGCTACACGCAGCAGGGGAAGGTGCCTGCTAAGTTACTCACTGAGCCAGAGCCCCTGAGCCTCCCTCAGCAGGGCACCATTGGCCAAAGGGGCCCAGGAGCAGATCCATGAGAGCAGGCAAGAGACCCAAGGTCCCCCTGCATTGTGAGGCCTGTAGGAGAGCCTTAGGGCACCCAAGGATGGAGAAGGGGGGAGGTGAGAAGGAGAGAGAGGAGGAGGGGAGGAGAGAGAGAGAGAGAGAGAGAGAGAGAGAGAGAGAAAGAGAGACAGAGAGAGAGAGAAATCAAGGCAGGTTAAGACAAGTTAAGGGACTATGACAATTCAGTGGGATAGTGGATAGATCACTGGTCTAGGAACCAGGAAGATGAGTTCAAATCCAGTCTCAAACATTTACTAGCTATATGAACCCAGGCAAGTCACGTAGCCCCTTTGCCTCAGTGTCCTCACCTGTAAAATAGGGATTATAATAGCTCCTAGCCTCCAGGGTTGACAAAGTGAGATAGCTGTAAAGCGCTTTGCCAATCTGAGAGTGCTACACAAATGCTGACTATTATGTCATTAGCTACTACCTGGCCAAGTTATATGGTTACCAGGTAGCAGTGGAGGATTCTAACCTAGATTTTCTGATTCCAAATTCACTCCGACTGACGTTATCATGTGACCACGTGACCTCACAGCTAGTCCAACCCAGACCTGAACCAGAGTTCCCCCAGGCTCCCCTCAAACAGTGACTGGCCAGCCTCTGCTTGGAGTCCTTTCAGGATGGGGAAACTCACTACCTCTTGGGGCCCCCTATTCCATTCTGGGACAATGTTCAATGTGAAGGGTTTTTTTTGTTAACACCCAGCCTCCAAAGGCTTGTATACCACACCCCGCCTTTCCCAGACCCTACACCCTAGCCCTGCCCTCTGGGGCCCAGCAAAACAAGGCCATCCCTTCAGCTACTTGAAGACAGCCTCCTGTCCCAGGTGCCCCTCTTCCCTGGGGCCCTCTAGGCTGGTTCCTTCCACTGGTCCTCCAAGCTATGGCTGCCTTCCTCTGGGCACTCTACAGCCCACCCACGTATCCATCCTGACCCATGGAGCCCAGAACTGAACATGCCTCCAGCTGGTCTGACTAGGACCAAGGACGGCGGGCCCGAAGGCTCAGGTCCAGCCTGGGGGCCATCCTTTTCGGCACACCCCCACCCCAGCTGCCAGGAAGAGGACCAGCCTCACCGAGGCCCCACACCAGGCTGCTCTTCCCTCCATGCCCATACCTCGGGTCATCCTGTGGGCAGGGGCTGAACACGCCAAGGCTGCAAGCTGTCTATAGATGCTGGGCCCCACCCTTGAGTCACCCCAAGGGGGTGGCCAGGCCAGCTCTCTCTGAGCCCAGGGGAGGGGGAGTGCTCTGGGGAGAAGGGCGTGCAGGACAGCCCCATACCTACAGCTTCAGGAAGGCTCCCTCTGGGGTATTCCTAGCACATGGTAGAAGAGAAGGAAGCAGCCCAACCCAGCCATCTGCTCTTGTAATTCAATCCTCTGGCAATTAGCTGCCTCTCTCAATCTCATTAAGACACTGAGCCTCGTAAACAGAAATCCCTGGCCAGCCAGGCCTTTGCCTGTCCTTCAGTCACATGGCCCCCGTTCATGCAAAATTCAGAATGAGTATCAGGGATGGCAGCCGCCCACTGGCCTGACCCAGCCACGCCTAGCCGCCCATCTGTCCAGCCTTTAGCTCCTGGGCCCATCTAGCCTCATCCTGGAACTTCACACAGGGAAACCGAGGCACAGAACAATAAAGGGGAGCGGCCCCCAGTCACATAGTGAGCTGTAGCTCAGGCTACACCAAGAACTAAGGGGAAGGAATTGGGGGTGGGGGTGGGGGTTCTTTCATTTATCTGTAAACCAGCTCCAAGCTCAGGCCTGCTGCCTGACCTCTAGGCCCACTGCCCAAGTTCTCTGACCTCAGATACTCACTTAACCTGTTTGCCTCAGTTTCCTCAACTGAAAAATTGGGATAATCCCAGCACCTCCTCCCAGGGCTATGGTGAGGATCACATGAGATATGTGTAGATCACTTAGCCCAGGGCATGCCTAGCACACGGGAAGCAGACGCTGCACAAATGCTGGCCGTCATCATCATGAGGGTCCCGTGTTCACCCCCATCCACAGACAGGAAACGGAAGTCGCAGAAAGAAGAAAGGAACGTGCGCAAGGTCACACAGAGCTGGAATCTGAACTCGGCTCCCTCTGGAAGCCAGAGCCAAGATAAGTGGTGCTGTTCCATGCAGCCCCCTCCCTGATGTGCAGGGATCTGGCAGCAGATGGGCAGGTGGGCGGGCACAGGGGATGAGAGGTGTCAGGAACCTGGAAAACAATTCCATATGGTGCGAGGACAAGTGTCAGGCCAGCAGAGGGCCCAAGGCCTGGCCCTGAGGCTTACACCAGCCATCTGGCATCTGGGCCAGGCGGGGCCTGTCTAGACCACCCAGGTACCCAGGAAGGCGGGTCTGGCCTCCACCAGGGCCGTCTTCCCATTCTTCTCCAGGCTTTCCCACTGCCCAGCTCAGGCCCATCTGGTTACCATGGAGATAGGGGGAGGGGGAGAGAAGAAAGAAAAGAGCAGGAGTCCTCAAAGGGGAAAGTCAGGGCCAGCATTAGAGGCCCTACCCAATCCCCTATCCTAGCTTCAACCTCTATACTGCCCCTGCCCTGCTGACCTCTTCCCAGACCGCCTCCATCAGGCAGCCTTCCTTGATTGTCCTCCCAGAGCACAGGGTTTGCCTCTCACCTATATTCATCGAGGTGTGGGACAACTGTCCCCCACAACTGTGGCCTGGGGTGGAGAGTGGGAGGCCTGTGCAGGGCGGGACCCGTGTCACTCAAACTCTGCACACAGCTGGCACTCACTCAGTGTTTGCCACAGAGCTGAACTATAATGACTGGCAGGCCCCCTGTGTCTGCAACTTAGAGTGAGCTGCTTGCCCTGCTACGGCTGAGGCCCAGGTCCTGCCCACTGCCCTGGGAGGGCAGGCGGACCTGAGCTCCAGAGGAAAGCCAAGCAAACCTCCCAGCAGGGGGATGGGGTGTGCAAGGTTCCCCCGCACCAGCCACAGTGACTGACGCGGTCTGAGTGTCCAGCAGAGCCCTGACCCTGAAGGGTCTTCCGTTCCCCCCAGGGATGCTGCAGGATCCCAGCAGCTGCCTGCCTCAAGACATCTCCTCTAGACCTTGCCCTCAGGAGGCTTCCATTTTGGAGGGCCAGTGGAACAGGGATGACAAAAGGAGGCCAGCTCCATGCACAGGGAGGGGGGAGACTGGCACTGGGAAAGGGGGCGTGGGACTCAGAGACTTAAAGGGGCTTATGTGTTTAAGCCCCAGCAGAAGAAAGTTAACCTCTCCCCCAGAGGACTGGCTTCCACAGGTAGGTAGATATGGGGAAGACGGAGGCAGAGGGAAACCCCCCCCATCCTTCCCCCTTCTTGGAACCCACCTGTGCCTGGCACCGAGGAGTGGTTGACTGGCCTCGTGCCTGGTCCCTGCCCTCCCCTGGAATCTTTGCAATGCCCCCCCAATTCGGTCCAGCTGAACGCCCTCCTGCTCTGGGGGGGGGGGGCGCACCTGGAGCTCTGTTCACCGGCAGAGAACGATGCCAGGAGCGAAGACCCTGGGAGCCGGGGGGGCCCTCGACACCTCCCATCCAGCTCACCCCTGAAAGGAATCCCCAGTGGGGAGCTCGCTAGCTCAGACTCTCCACCCCCAGCTGTTCAACCCTGGAAAGGGGTGGGGCCAGCAAACTGGGAGTCTGGGCCCCTCCCGCTGGGCCCTGGCAGATGGGGCTCAGAGAGGAGGCTGAGCTCACGCAAGCAAACAGATGGAGAGTCCCCATGGCCAGACACCCCGGCAGAGCGGAGGCCGTGGCAGCGTCTGCTGGGGTGACCTCCTCACCTGCATGTTTACCAGCCGCCTGAGCTGTACGTGCACGCCCGCACCCACACACGCGCGCCGACACCATGGGCTGGAGCCCCCCCGCCCGGGCAGGCCTGTAAGCAGGCGCAGGAGCCCCCTCCCTCTCCTGCCAGCCGCCTCCCCCTCCTCTCCACCACTCAGGCAGCAGCTCCCCATTCTTCCACTCGTCAAACCTGCCACCTTAAAATCCTGTTTTGTTTTTTCATCTGGGAGCTGCTGGGATCGGTCTGAAGATGAATGGCGAGGTGAGGGGGAGGGCCCTTGCCGCAGCCCCCACGTGCTGCCTGGCATTTAAGGCCTCTTCTCTCCCTCTGGGTCTGTGCTGATTCCAACCTCCCCTCCAGTTCACACTTGCCTCTCACCAATGGCCATGGAGACTTGGTGCTAAGATTATCCCCCTTTTTACAGATAAGGAAGTTGAGGCCTCTCAGGCTCTGCTCCCCCCCAAGACCCTAGCTCCCTAGCTCTGGACACCATGCCCTTTCTGCAGCCCACTACCCCACCAGCCTGAGTAGCTCCCATTTGGGGGAGGCACCACTAACTCACCGATGTTGAGCTAGTGGTGCACTCAAACCCCCAAATCTTTTTCAGACAAACCCCTTCCTAACCAGGCTCCCCACCCGTGCGTGGCCCATTCTTCTTGGGAACACCAGTCTTTTGAACCTGGATGTAAGATACGACATTTCTCTTTGCTGAATTTCACCTAGTTAGCGTCAACCCCGTGACCCAGCCCGTGGATTAGTCTTCAATTTGGATTCTGTCAAGTGAGACCTGCTTAGTCCAAATCAACATTTATTTATTAAGTGCCTACTACTCGCAAGGCACTGGCAACAAAAAGTGGAGGCTCCTCAGGAGAAAACACCACCGAGGAGGGGAGGGAGGGGACGCGGGCAATTCACAGACAGAGCTGAGACCCGGCAGAAGCCACGGGATCTACGAGGCTGCCCTCCTGGCCTGGGGGATGGCCCGCCCAACTGGACAGGAAGGTGCAGGGGGGCTGGAGCTGGCAAAGGTGGTCGCCCCAGCCCCAAAGCGCACCTAGAGCAGCTTCAACGGGCTTAGCTGGCCTGGCCCCTGAAGAGCCGCACTCTGGGCACCCCGCGGCTCTTGTCACGGGGGGGCAAAGCTGGCCTCAGGGAGGGTCCAACACAGGCCAGTTTCCCCTGAGGAACTCAGGAACTGCACCCACACCACTGGCAACCAGAAATTCAGGAGGACGCCAGCTTCCAGAGCACAGTGCCCGTACCCGGCGAAGAGACGCGGCCACTTCTCCCGAGAGCCTCTCTCGGCTCCTTCCCCTTCAGAGGCCTCACGAGACCATCCCTTTAATGACCCCAGCTGAAATTTTGTCCAGGGTCGACTTAACAAGGGCACCACCTCAATGCCCAGAACACACTTTTCTAAAAACCAGGACAATTTCCACCTGCCTCCGGCCCGTGGCCCCTTTCTTCCCCAATGCCGCTGGCTTGGAGATGGACGGTCCCTCCACCAACCGTGCCTCCTCTTCCACGGCTTCCCATGAGGCCCCCACAGCAGGGCCCCCAACATGCTGGACACCTTCCCTGCTTTCTCCCAACATCACCCGTGCACCCTGGCTGTCCACCCGGCACTCTGCCATTCCTGCTCAGAACTGGACTCTCTCCTCTCTCTGGGGATGCCCCTGGGACTCCTTCAGCTCTGGCCCCCTGGGCGGCCACCTCAGTCCCTGATTGGCGCCACAGGCCTGGACTCTCCCTCTCCTCTCTCCATCTCTTTTCATCCCTCTTTCTACCTCTCCTCTCCTCTCCCTTTCCTCTCCCCATCTCCCCACTCAGACTTTCAGGAATGTCCCTATTCCCTGTTACCCCCGCCATGGTCCTCACAGCTCAGGATCTGAGATGTGAGCTCCAGAAATGCCCATGTGGAAGAGGCAGCCAGAGCCCTCTGCCCAGCAAACGCCCCTGGATTCAGGAGAAGAGGTCAGCTCCAGTCAATGAGGATGGCTTGCTGCCAGAATGGGACAGCCTGCCTCTGTGCAGGGAGCCGAAGGCTCGTTTCTCCTTTGGTGTGTTTCAGGGGTGTGTGTGTGCCTGTTCAGGACCAGATTGGATTAGATGCCCCCAAGGACCGTCCCAGGCCTGATGTTATGTGCTTCTGTCTCAGTGGCTCAAGACAAGCCTGGGCAATGATGAGATAAAGCCAGCCCAGGGCACAGAGGAGGGAAGAAAGGAGGGAGAGAGAGAGAGAGAGGAAGACCGTGAGAGGCAGAGAACACGGAAGACAGGGGAAGGGCAGAGGCTGGCTCCAGGGGCTTTGGGAGCTGGGCCACGTGCCCTTGACTGAGCCAGGAACACTGGAGCTGAAGGCTCGTCCCGACTGCTCCGTCCCTTTACAGCTCAATCCTTAAGCAAGCCTTGAGCACTCAGTGAGCACCAGGCACTGAGCTAGACACCAGAGAGAGGAACGCAAGGGCAAGACAGTCCCTGCCTGACCTCAAGGATCTTACAGTCTATGCGGGGCACTGCTGATAAGTTGATATAGACAGCTACAACACAAACAGACTTGTGCCAGGGGGTGAGAGGGAACGCTTAAAACAGGAGAACCAAGAAAGGCCTCTTGCAGGAAATAGCTCTTAGGAAGCGAGTAAAGAGGTAGAGCATTCCAGTTATGCGGCTCAGCCTGAGCAAAGGCCTAGTGGTGGAAGAGGACACGTTTGACTGGACTGTGGACTGTGTTAGGGGAAAAATATATAATCCGCCTGAGACGGCAGGTTCACGGGGATTGTGAAGGCTTGTAAATGCCAACATAGGAATATGTATTTTATCTAAAAGGTAATGGGGAGCCACAGAAGTTTCTCAAGCAGGGTAGTAACAAGATCGTGGCTGTATTTTAGGAAGGTCATTTTGGCTGTTGAACGAGGGAACAGACCAGAGACAAGGAGAGCCACCAGCAGGCAGCCTGGACCACAGGGGGAAGTGGAGCCGTCATCTTCTCTGCTTCCCAGCCCCAAGATCCAGCTCAACACCCAGATTCAACCATTTGCTCAATCTTGTCATTTCCACCTCCAGAGCATCTCACATTTCAGTGCTGGAATGGAAGTCAGGAAGACCTGGATTCAAATCCCCCTTAAGACACTTGTTAGCTGTGTGACTTTGGCCAAATAACATCTGTCTGTGCCTCAGTTTCCTTGTCTGTACAATGAAGGCGTTGGCTATGGCTATGATCCCTTGATCCCTTCTCTTCAGCCAGTCGGTGATACAGGACATGCTCAGGAGAGAGCTAGATCTATCGATGCTTAGAAAGGATAACAGAAGCCTATGGGAGCTGATGCAGTAGATCTTCCAGAGGCAGAGGGTTGAAGGAGAAGACAAGGTGACATGGGACACAGAGCCCATGGTGACACCTGCAGTTAGTGAACGTGACCTGGAGGAAGGTCTTCAGTCTTCTGAGGCCCAAGGCTGGAAGTGACCAGAGTAAGATCCAACCACCATGAAGAGGCAGGGCTGGGCTACACACACACAACCCGCCTGACCCCAGGGTGGCCAAGACTTCCCTCCCTAACTACCCAGCACTGACTCTGAATGCAGGCTCCCAATACCTACATCACTGAGCATCTTTTTTTCTTCTACTTTTTAAAAAAATTTTAAAAATTTATTTTGATTTATCAAACATCACTTCCATAAGCTTTTGAGTTTTACATTTTTCTCCCTCTCCCTTCCCTACTCTCTCCCCAACACAGCACGAAATCTGATATAGGCTATACATATATATATTCCTACTAAACATCATACCTACCAGAATGATCAACATGACAAAACAGGAAAATGATAAATGTTGGAGAAGATGTGGGAAAATTGGAATACTAATGCATTACTGGTGGACTTGTGAAATTATCCAACCATTTTTTAAAAAATTTATTTTATTTTTAGGTAATTGGGGTTAAGTGACTTGCCCAGGGTCACACAGCTAGTAAGCGTCAAATGTCTGGTCCAAGGCCGGATTTGAACTCCGGTCCTCCTGACCTCAGGGCCAGTGTTCTATCCACTGCGCCACCTAGCTGCCCCTGATCCAACCATTTTGGAGAGCAATTTGGAACTATGCCCAAAGGGCTATAAAAATGTTTATACCCTTTGACCCAGCAATAGCCCTTCTAGGTCTGCATCCCAAAGAGATCATACAAATGGGAAAAGGACCCACATGTACAAAAATATTCATAGCAGCTCTTTCTGTGGTGGCAAAGAATTAGAAATTGAGGGGATGCCCATCAATTGAGGAATGGCTGAGCAAGTTGTGGAATATGAATGTGATGGAAATCTATTGTGCTATAAGAAATGATGAGCAGGCTGACTTCAGAAAAGCCTGGAAAGACTTGTATGGTTTGATGCTGAGTGAAGTGAGCAGAACCAAGAGAAAACGTCGTACACAGTAACATCCATGTTGTGCGATGATTAATATTGATAGACTTAGCCCTTTCAGTGATGCAAGGATCTAAGACATCTCCAAAGGTCTCATGAGGGAAAATGCTGTCCACATCCAAAGAAAGAACTATGGAGTCTGACTGCAGATGGAAGCATACTATTTGCTATTTTGTTTTTCTTCTGTTGAGTTTTGTTTCCTCTTTCTGGTGGTTCCTCCTATTGGCTCTAATTCTTCCTTACAACATCACTAATGCGAAAATATGTTTAATAGGAATGTATACGTATAGCCTATATCAGATTTTTTCTTCTTTTTGACAAATGACAAAAACAAAAACAAACACCTCCCCCCCATGGAAACAAGTAATTATTATCCAGTTGTAAAGTTCGAGTTTTGTCTTGGGAGTGCCTCCTAGGGCGCAAGGGAGACAGAGGGGATACATCTGCTGAGCCTGTCTTGAGTATAAACTCTTCACAGGCAAAGCAGTGCCATGTGCCACAGACGACCCTAGTTCTGTTGGCTTTAATAAATACGGTTTGACCCTTAACGCCCAATCAGGACGGACCCTGGGATTCCACCTGAGGGTAGGAGAGGTCTTCATACCCTGAGCCAGCAGCTGGTTCAAGGCAGGTGCTTGCTTGCTACCTGGTCTAAACACAGAGCTGGGTACTCCCAGGGGGGCGGGGCAGCACATGTTCGGGGCTCCGGGTGGCTCCTGGGCCCACCCTCCGTGGTCATCGGCCATCAGTCGCCAGCCCCAGAGAGCAGGATGATGACCCCAGAGGGCAGCTCGCGTAGCAATGTAGCATTCTGTAGCTCTGGCTCCACCCACTCCTGCCCCTGGACAGCCAAGGTTTCCATAGCAACCCTGGGTGGTCGGATGGGGACACTGGAGGAGGTGGGGCCAGGACCAAGGACTGCCAGCCTGTCAGGCTCAGCGGAGCCAAGCAGAGGAGGAGGCCTGGGCAGGTGGGTGGGAGGGAGGGAAGGAGCCAGAGGCACAAACAGAAAGACAAGGGAGGAGGGGGAGGGGCTTCCCAACAGCTCCAAGTCCAGGAAGATCCTGTTACCAGGAGGCTGAAGCCAAGGAGCAGGGTCAGCAGGCTGAAGGCCACCAGGGGAACTGGATGGACAAACTGCAAACAGCCACTAGCATTCTGTAGCATTTTAAGGCTTCAAAGCACTTTATAAACCTTATTTCATTGGACCCCTCAAGAAAACTCTAAGAGATGGGTGCCATTATCAGCCACATTTCACAGATGGGGAAACTGAAGCATAGAACGCATTTAAATGAGCTGTCTGAGGCTGGATTTGAACTCAGCTCTTCCCGCACTAGGTCCAGAGAAAAGAAGTCACACTTCCACAGCTACATAAGTGCAGAGGCCCAGTCAAGCACACGGGCACCCCTGACTCACCTAAGGCAGCCTGCTTCCCAATCAGGGCAAAGTAGGTGGGTGGAGACGCTGGTGACCTGAGGGCCGCCTGGCCCTGAGCTGTGCTGGACAGCTCCCCGGGGAGGTGGGGCTGCCCTTGGCCCTGGGCAGACTGGTTTGTCCCTTCGTGGTGAACTGCCACCTTGCCTCTCTGGGCCCTGCATCAGGCCTGGTGCTTCCTTCCCTCCAGGTCTTTGCTCAGGTCATTCCCTTTGCCTGGAACGCCCTCCCTCTAATTCTCTCCCTGCTGAATTCCTATGCATCCTTCAGACTCAGCAAGTTCAACCTCCTTCAGGAAGTGCCCCCCCCCCGGAAATACTGCAGATGTCATCCCAAGGCGGCCTCCCTGCAGTGGCCTCAGGTCAAGGCTGTGCCCAGGTGGGGCTTGGTCCACTAGGACGCCCAACCACGGCTCTCAGCACAGAAGGGGAGGCAAGGACCTGACTGACGCCAGCCAGAGCAGAACAGACGACTAGGCTGGGCACTGCAAAGCAGCCCCACCAGAGCCTCCAGGCTCTTCTTACCTCACTCTTGGCTCAAAAAGCCTGCAATGGCTCTCCACTGCTTACCATTTATCCTGGCATTCAAGGCCATCTACAATCTGGGGCTGACGTGAGGAAGGGAAGGCACTGCTCAGTCAGCAAACACAGCTGGCTCCTGGGCCCCAGGTCTTGGTAATTCCATGGCTGAATCATAGACTAAGAGCCAGAAGGAACCTCCGAGGTCGTCCAGACTTGCCCCAATCCTTTCATGAGGCCAAGGGACCTGTCCAAGGGCCCCCAGCCAACAAGGCTTGACAGCGGGCTCTGACTCGTCCTGCTCCACTTCTGAAGATGTCTACACTGCTGGCCTCCCCTCCCACACCTCCCAAGAGCCCCCTAGGAAGGTCTCTTCCCTCCTGCCCCTCTGTGGCTAGGCCCTCACCCCACCCTCATTCCCATCCCGAAATCTCCCTGCCAGCCTCCCAGCCCAGGACCAAATGCCAGCGAACACAGGGACAAGGTGGCGCCTGCCCAGAGCCCAGGGGCCCTTTCCTGACATCTCCCTCCTCCTGGCCAACTCCACTGTCCTCCCTCATCATCACAGAGAGACCAGACCTCACTGACCATCGCACGGAGACCACAGGGAGACAGCCAGCCCCACTGACCTTTACCCAAGGGAGCACGAAGGGGATGTCCGGCCTCACTGACCATCACACAGTGACCATAAAGAGACTTCTGGCTGACTGCAACACCGAGACCACGGGCGGAGCCCCAAACTCACTGACCATCCCACCACCAGGGATGACTCGGCCACACCAGATATCCCACAGATGTCACGCCAAGGGACTTCCTGCCTCAGTGACCACCGTGCAGGTCTGAGGTCAGAGGGCACACAAGCCAGAGCAGGGCTGCTGGGCCTCCCCAGCCTCTCTGCTACACTCGCTGCTGGCTGCAGCGATCCCCGAGCCCCCACGCGCTGCACGTACCGTCCAGCACGGTGAGCTTGGCACTGATGTTGATCTCGCCCACACTGTTTGTGGCCGTGCATTCGTAAATGGCCTCGTCCCGGTGCACCCGCAGCGGCTGGATCCGGAGCACAGAGCCAGCCCCGTCATCAAACTCAATCACCTGCAGGAGAGCAGCACAGGAGGGGCTGTCAGGGAGGGACGCCGTAGACCCAAAGGAGCTCCATGGGTCCCCCCCTTCCTAGCTGTTTCTACATGGAGGCACTGGCAGTGAGGCATGCTGCCAGAGTCAGGAGAGGGCCGGAAAAGCTCCTAGTGTCTGGAGGATAGGGATGACCCCACAGGCCTCCTGCTCCCCCACCCTCTTGCTGATCCCCCCAACATCTTGCTTCAAACTCATCCCAAAGGCCAGGCCCTGACCTTTGGCTGGGATCCATACCCCCTACCCGGAAAGCCCATGTCTAAGCCCCCAGGAGATGCAGGTCCTGCCAGACTCTCAGCTCCAAGTGCTGAGAGAAGGATCTTGCCGACTATCCCCCTCTTTCCCCACCCCTGTACCCTTGGACTAAGCCTTCAGGATACTCAGGCCTGCCTTTCCCCACCCCATCGAACCTCCTCCCAGTCTCCTCTCTTCCCCCTAAACCAGTCCTATTCCTCTCCCCCTCGGGGGCTTCCCTTCCCTCATCTACCCAGGCCTGTCCCCGCCCCCCCTCCTTTGGGGCCCACGGCCTGGCCTCCCAGCCCCGGGGGACTGCTCTGCCCTCATCCTCCCAGGCTTATTTCCATCCTTCCTCTGGGTCCCAAGGCCTAGCCTCCCAGCTCAGGCTTCATCCTCCCCTCCCCATCCCATATTCCCCTCAGGCAGCCTCACCTCAAATCGCTGGGAGCTGACTTTTTTGCCCTTCTTCATCCAGGTGATTCGGGGCTTGGGCTCGCCCGTGGCCTGGCACACAAAGGAGGCCACACCCCCAGACAGGCCTGTCTGGTCCTCAGGAGCCTTCACAAAAGTGGGCTTACCTAGAGCAAAGGGGGCAGAGGGGATGGTCACCACCGACCAAGTGCCTGGCCTCAGGCACCTCCGCTCCCTGGAGATGTGGGTTCATAATCAGCTGAGCATCTTCTCTGTGCTGGGTACAAAAGTGAAATGGCCTCTGCCCTCACAGGGTTTACATTCTCTAGGGGAGGCAACAGGTGCGTGTCAAAGTTGATAAAACAACCAACTCAAGATGATGAGAAGGGAGCGGCCCCAGCAGCGATGGAAGCAAGGCTGCAGCTCCAGTGGAGCCATGAAAGAAGGGAGGGCATTGCA